CCCCAAAACCCCAAAACCCCAAAACCCCAAAACCCCATTTGTGACAAAGGTGATTGAATAATAGGACTATTTATTTCTTAATAACTTGGATTAATTCTATATTTTCCAGATCATATTCCTCCATCATCCCTTTGATAAATTCCTCTTCAATATTCATCATCGAGGTTCTGAGCTTTGCTATAAAGTTATTATCAGCTAATACTCAGGCTATCTCTGAGGCCAGATTCACTGATGGCTTTGATTATCTTTTGAAAGTCGTCTTCTGTCATTATTCCACCTCTTACTCCATCACCGCAGCCTTTGAAGTTGAGTGATTTAATTGAGTATTTGTCTTCGTCTTTATAGACTAGAGAATATTCTTAGAGCTCTTACTAGGTTTACTGAAGTCCAATGACGAACTAGTTATGCTTATCTTGCATTTAATAAAACCAATTCTAGTCACATGAGATGAATTCTTGATAATACTATAGATAAATGACTGGACGCACCTTGAGAGTTGTCTCCCGTTGATCTTCATGTAATAGAAATACACATCTTTGGTAACCTTAGGTAGGATGTTTATCACATCTTCTATATAATTTCCTATGTCTATCTTCTTAATTCTATATTTAGTCTTGGCGTGGTTATTAAAGAACAAGCTTTGGACCTTCACAACGATATTAGTCATGACAGTCTTCAGATCCTCGTCATCTTCTTCAATATATCTCAAAGAAAGAAGTCTTAGGTCTGGGAGAGGGATTTTCTTAGCAATTATTTCTTTCAAGAACTTAGAGCATCTTTCATCTCTAAAATCAAGTTCAAGGATTCCTATAAGTTAGAGAAAGCTGAGCTTACCGAATAATTTTCTTGTTTCATAGTCGTTAAACACTTCCTCTTCTTCAGTTCTCCTAAACAAAGACAATCACTTCTAGAACCATTGCTTTGGTTGGAGACTTAATGGGGAAACTTACTCAGTAAATGTTTCAAGGAAAATTTTGTTATAATTAACTGTTCTTTCCTTCTGCTGCTTCTCTATCTTATCATTCAACGCTTCAGCCTCCTCAAATTCCTTATTATTCACATTCACACTCGTCTTACTGACTTCCAAATTATTCATATTTTCAATAAATTAAATAAATTTAGGGGTTTTGGGGTTTTGGGGTTTTGGGGTTTTGGGGTTTTGGGG